TATATATATATATATATACACACACACACAGAGAGATAGATGAAAATTTATATGTAAACATTTAGAATTAAAGATTATAAAAATAATTAATGTTAATGAAATTTTTTTTATTTTATATATTTAATAATACTAGTAACACACAATATAATATATACAATAATAACAATAGTTATAATACTGTATAATTAAATATGCTTACTTAAAATAAGCAATAACTGAAATACAAAAAATAATAATAAAACATATTTCAGCTTGTTTTATTTCTGCTTATAGCCAAGGAACCATTTCTTATTTTGGTTAAATTTATGTTAAAGTACTAAAATAAATTACAACCTTAAAAAGCTTTTTCGTTACTCGAAATAAAATAAACATTAACCAAAAACCCCTCTTTTTCTTCCTCAGAATGTGAGCAGGGCATGTTTGGTCTGAAGTGCTCTCGGTCATGTGACTGTGCGGAGGACACAGCGTGTGACCCAGTGAGCGGCAGGTGTGTCTGTGCCTCAGGAAAGACGGGTGTCCGGTGTGACAGCGGTGAGTCCAGTAACACCACTGCACGTGATGTTCATGATTATATCTATATGAATATGCATGTGTAATGCATGCTGTTGTGTGTCAGACTGCAGTGTGACGCGGTTCGGACCTGACTGTGCGCTCAGCTGTGAGTGTGAGAACGGCGCTCAGTGCGACCGCAGAAGCGGACGCTGCCTGTGTCTCAGCGGCTGGATCGGCCTCACGTGCTCACAACGTAAACCTGCTTGAGATCAGTCTCTCTCCAGCCAGTCAGGCAAAAAACTCCCAACTTAGAGCTAAATATATTTATTATTGCATATGAATCAAAAATTGAGAATCACAATTCTCAGTGACGTCTCATGAAACAGTGTGTATTTCATTGTAGTTATTTCTAGAATTTTTTTTTTTTTCCATTGTTTTTTTTTTCTTAAGTCTATTTTTATATTTATTTCAGTTTTAGTTATTTTAGCTGAAATATGTTTAATTTTATTAATATTTTATTTCAGTTAACAAGTATTTTAGTAGCAATTATTTTTAATGGTTTTAGGTTTAGTTTTAGTCAACTGTAATAACTCTAATTTAGTCAACACATAAAATGTGATACGATCTAATGTGATTTGAATGGTTGTAATTGTATCTTCTTAGGGGACCCTCCAGAGGTGGACTCCAGACGTCTAGAGGAGAATCAGTCCCAGCTCGACACCTCATAGCGCTAACGCTTACACTGAGCAGCTGCAGCGGGACACAAACACACAGATGCACTTTACTCTCCCCGACTGCTCCTCACAGCTCAGACTCGATCCTTCATCGCGCTTTCAGGGGATTTTTGTATTGTCTGTGTTTCAGTACTGTTGTCAGATTCACTTTTGACTCGACAAGAAAAAAAGTGCCTTTGGATTTCATAACACTCTTGTTTACGCTGCTGGATTGTAGCTAATATTAAAGGGTTAGTTCACCCAAAAATGAAAATTAGGCTGCGTTTTACTCACCCCCGAGGCATCCTAGGTGTATATGACTTTCTTCTTTCAGACGAATCCAGTCGGAGTTATATTAAAAATAGTCTTTGATCTTTCAAGCTGTTTAATGCCACTCAGCATGTGTTGCATTGCTTCAGTCCAAAAGAACTTGAATAAAAATTGCCCATCTATAAAAAAAAAGTGTCTCACACGGCTACGGGGGGTGAACAAAGGCCTTCTGTAGCGAATCGATGCGTTTTTGTAAGAAAAATATCCATATTCAAAACGTAACAAATTATGTTTTATTAATCTGAGTGTACGTACCTCAGTTTTTAAGTGAAAAAATAAACATTATTTGTGGATAATTTTGTTAATATTAAATAAAATATGAAAAAAATTGCACTGTTTATCACACTACTGTGTTCTAATGTTTAACCAAGAAATTTGTTTTGAAAAGCTTTTTTTTAAGACAGGTGTTTACTAATTTCACAAAATCAGTAGCTGAACACAAACTGTAATTTGTTTTACCTCTTTGACAGACTAACGTTTGATAAAGAAACATCTGTGTGGATGGCAACATATTAAATTACATGAAGTGATGTTTCACCGTAGGTGCTATGACGGCCTTTTATTAAAGGAGGGCCTGTATATGTTAATATTAGAAGAAGAAAAAATAGGAACTGGTACATTTTTCATGCTTTTGATTGTTTTGCATAAAGTTTGAATTTATTTATGTTTTGTAAAATATACAATTGTAAATGTTTTGCAAAGTCTTTAATATGTGAACCTGTTGAAAACGTTTTTACTTGTGCCACCCTGGAATAATAGTTTTTTTTAAGCACGTGTTAAATATTTCAAACAGCAGCAGTGCACTATATTTTTAATTGGTGTCTTTTTTTTTTTAATCCAGGGGCCGTATTTGTGAAACATTCTTTAGAATAAATGTCAACTGTCATTTTCTTAGTTTATCATCTTATTTTCTTAAAAAAAGGGGAAAATGTATATAAGCAATAATGACAATCACTACATTATGAATAATTTATTGCTATTGTATGTAATCATGTAATCAATAAAGTGTAGTCTGATTATGAGTATTTTAAAATGTAATATAATTACAAGTACTTAGTTTTTGGAATCGGATTACAGATTACAGAAAGGCAAAAAGTTACATACTGCAGCTTCAACTCCATTAATGCGTTTCTTAAGAAACTCAACAAAAACCAAAGATGCAAACAGCCGTTTTTTGTTGTTGGTTTTTTTCATTGTCAATATTTTATAGTTGTCATTTCATAGATACTGGTGCTGTACATGTCTAAATTCAGATTCAAGCACAATGCAGTCAGCAAATGCGTTTCGATGAAAATAAAAGAACCAAAGGCTGGAGTGATCAGGACCATGAATACTCTTATGTATAGATATATGTACAAAGGTCAAACTATATACAGATATATCTGACTCGACATACAGTATTTCTCCACAAAGCGTGGAAATGTAGCTTGCCATTGTATACATTTCACAGAATTCTCCAAAATGCATATTCAGTGCAAATAATTGCTCTTTGTCATCATCGTCATCTTCAGGTCAGTACCACCGAAGGGCAACAAAGAATGGTAAAAAAATAAAATCATATTTTAGTCTTTATCTTTGCAAAATTTTAAACATGAAAAATAATCTCCTCGGGAACTAAAGTATGGCACTTGAAAACAATACTCTTCACATCTGTCAAACCTGGACTGATAATTACAGATTTAATCACTATTACACTTTTCCCTGTTTTTCCAACCATTCCACTCTCAACTTAAAAGGTCACTAATAAAACAAAGTGCTCGGAGGCATGGAAAACCAGTCAATGATATTCACGTCGTCTTCACCAAACGTTTCCGACTCTATCAAAGCAGTCAACGTAAGAGCAGAAACACACTGACGAGGTACAACACTAATACAATGAAAATATTAGTCGATACTTAAACACGAGTCCAGTCAAACGCACAGATGAACGCTGGGAATCTGGCAGCTCTGCTATCCAAACACTGATGAATCTCAACACCGAAACTAAACTAATAACTGCCTCTGATCACAAATCTACTGCTCACATTAGTCCTCAAACACACTTCAGTGATGCCATTTCATCCGGATGATATTTCAATGTACAACGATGAAATATAAAGGAATGTTTCAGTTTCAGTACGACTGAAGCTCTATGGACATTACAAACAGAAAAACACTTGACAGTAATTAAAATATAATTTGAAATTATATTAAAATATAATTTGTTACGTGTAACATAACACTTCCGCATTATACTAGTGTGATAAAAATGTTCATAAACATGTCTGTGTCACATTTGTAAGCATTTGGCAACCACTTTTTTTAAATCAATCTATCATCAATTAATTTAATTTGTCTATTTATTTGTAAGCATTTGGCTACCACTTAATTTTTATTTATTTCTATTTTTTTTAAATCAACAATTATTTCATGTTTTATTTATTTGTAAGCATTTGGCTACCACTTAATGTTTCTCTTTTTTTCTTTTAAATCAACAATGAATTCATTTTATTTTATTTATTTGTAAGCATTTGGCTACAACTTATTGTTTCTTTTGCTCTCTCTCTTTTATTATTATTATTTTTTTAATAATAAATTATTTAATTTAATTTTTTTGTCTTACAGGGTGAAGTTCACAAAGCAATTTCCAGAAAATATTTTGACCCTAAAATTTATTATATTTAGCATGAAATAACCAAACCTTATTTTTTAGAATGATTACTTGTGACATTATCTCCATGAAAATTTTTCATTTTCCCAACAAATTGTCATTACTGCAATGCAATGCAATGCAAAAAAAAAAAAAAAAATGCATGTAATACAAAAAATTTTAAATGTTGTAAATTTCACATAATACTCAAAACTCTTTACATAGCTGCACATCTCTGCTTTTAAAAGTACATTTCTGTTTAAGGTACATTTTTGGTTTGTTTGAAATGATGACATGAATTGACCTGAACCTAAAACATTCCTTTAAAAGGGGAAAAGACGTTAACACTATAAATGTAAATGAATCATCTCCAATTAAGCAACTACCTAACGAATAAAGTGCAAATCGTTCAGAGACTGTTAGGAGTAACTGCACCGTTATTATCATCAGGAAACGTACATCAGTCCAAATGCTCTTCAGGGAGACACACAAACACACACAGATGAGATGAACGGACACCAGCTTTAAAGAGTTGAATGTTGAAGTTTGATCTAAGTCATGAATAGAGTTGATATACTAAGACAAATTTAACTCACATAACTTTGATTCTGATCTTTAGAGAATTTTTAACCACTGCCATGAAGAACGGCAAGCTCATCTTTTCAGAATTGTACAAAAATGTCAGTTTCGGACATTATGTAACATTATCGGATATGAATTGTGCATTAAATGTGCTAAAAGAGCATGGATCCCGCTGCATGCTTTCCAAATGAACCTCATGCAATTCTCTTGTGCTTGATCAGGGACGGTTTGATTAAACGATGCACGCCGACGACAAGAAAAAAAATCTTATTGATCAACGTCTGATGACCAACCTCCATTTAAAAAAGATCTAAAGACTGCTTATCATTCATACCGGGTGCACTATGTATACTTGCACTAAGTATGTATATATGTACTTCTATTTCTAGAGCGCAGAGTGAATATACAAAGTGAAGAAAGATGCGCAGATACATGCTGCTAAATGAGCCATCGTCTCTCCGTGGGAAAGAGGACACGTTACGGACGGGATGTGGGGTAAATCTTTGGCTTCAGCCACACGTATCATCACCGGTACATATAGCAGAAATGCCCAGTGTCTAGAAACGAGATGAAGAAACAGCAAACGATGTATTTCACATACACATGAACACATGCAGATGTAAACATTCTACCGCAGTCCCTGAGCTGCTCACACAAACAGGCCTTTGCTCCTATTGGACGGGTGAGAGAATGCCGTTTAAACAGTCCGCTTTCCTATTGGCTAGGAACATCTGCTGTGCTGTGGAGGGCTGGAGTTATGCTGGCCCCAGCTACACTGCAGACAATATCGTCAAATCGCTGTTGGGTTTTGCTACTAATAGACGTCCAATTGCAGGGTGATAAAGCAGACCTGTTTCACCTCTATTTAGGATTGAACCTGCAACTTTTGTGTTAGCAGCCCATTATTTGTAACTATTAGGCTACCACCACCCCAAGTTTCTACTTGTTGCTAATAATCAATTTGCCTTATGAGGTGAATGTCACAAAAAAAAAAAAATCAGATATTTCACCCTAAAATCAATATTTTAGGACCATCAAGGTTTTTATTACTACCGTTACACACACACACACACACACACACACACACACACACACACACACACATATACATATATATATATTAGCGCTGTCACACGAATTTGACTGTCGTTTAAACGAAAGTTTTGTATCCGACTATAGTCGACTAGTCTAAAAGCAAGAAACCCCCAAACGATGGTAAGAAAAAAAAACCTCTGTGCGTGCGTGTAGCATGTAGTATAATAGCCTATATTTGAAATACTTAATCTATGAATCACACTGTCAAATCCCTCAAT